CAAATTATGAAAATATGGCGGGTAATTTGAATATCAATTTCTAAAACAAAAACATGCTTATTAATTGGTCAAAAATTAGTAAAACAAACGAGAAAATATAGCAAATGGGTAGACTAGACATTAATTGAAAGCATCCTGGCATTTAAAGTATGGAATGAAATATAATTCATGTAAAAAATTGTTGATTTTAACGGACACGACTTCGAAATTTTTTGCAAAATTATTCAAAACAAAAATTCAAACTAAAAAGTTAAGAAAACTCTCGAAAAGTTAAGCTTCTTAACCCACTCAAATTGTAGAATAAATCCTAAAGTTTAATTATTGTGAACACGAAAATTTTTTATAGTTGGCGACACAGTTTTTTTTAAAGAAATGTATCTCAAACGAAAATTCGGAAATTGTCGTTGCTTAGTTGATAAACAAAATGTTTCAGACGATAAATTTGTCAACAATCACATTTAGTTCATGTTCTTGTACAATACAATTTCTTGAACCTTCTGGCTGTATTTATTCCTAGTTTTAGAATGACATGTTTATTTTTGCGCTCGAAATCTGGCTGTAAAGACGCACAATGAAATCACTCCTTTTAACCGCCATTTTGAGCCTTTCGGAAACGTTCGGAACAGCTTCTCATCAAGTTCGCAATACTATTACAGGTAAGGTTGACGCATGCGCAGACGTTTTTCCGCGGTGTTCGTTTTAACATAAGTTGAATTCTCTTGGGTTTCATGGCGCTTGCGCGCCTACGGCATTAGGTAAATATTTGCTGTCGTAATCTAGATCAGTGGTCGTAATGTATAAAGTATCTCGGTTAAACGCCGCAGGGCTTTTTGGATATTTTAAATGTATGTGAGAGCGTTATACGCAGACAGAATGATGCCGCAAAAACGCAGTAATGCAAACAAAGCATATTTTACACAAAAGAGAAGTTCCAATCGAAACGCAATCGAGAAAATATGTGCGCATGCGTTGTCTTGTGAGTTTGATGTCAAAGTCGACTCCAGCATTCCAATTATAGCCTTTCCCACGCCGCTATTTTTGGGGTATACTGCTTTTTCCAAATCTGTGAGATTGTACGCAGTGAATAAGAGAATTTTATCACTATAATTGTGAGTATAATCATTTGAACAATTACATAAGTTAATTTACAGTTAAATGTTGTCAGATCGCTTAGATTTTTCACGTCGTTTTCAAAAAGAGTACCCCAAAAATGGTGAGAAACAAAGCATTTCAAAGGTTTTCGACCTTGCATTGCCAGGATTTCACATATCGGATTTTGCATGTTGAAAATGCCTTTTCAGTTTTCATATCAGATGTGGGCCAATTTCACATATCATGTATGCATATGGAATAATAATTTCACAAGTGAAATTAATTTGTACATAATTATGATTTACGTTCCTTTAATTTCACATGTGAAGGAATCATAGATATCTCATAAGAAAGAATATGTGAAACTTAAATTTTTTCTTCGACAATTCTAAATTTCGTATATGAGATGTTCAAATTCCACATAAAATTTCACATGTGAAATGAGATGTGAATTGTCCATATACATCGCCTTTATACCATCCCTCCTCAATTTATTTTGCGGTAAAGTAGAACTGATTTTTTCGGAAGCTCACAATTCAAAATAAATGAAGTGAAATATTATGCATTAATGACCGTTGCAGCAATGCATGTTGTTCGATGTTATCGTTTGATAAAATCTTGTTTTAAATACAGCCTGAAGAAAATCGGTTGAACAAAATCACTTCATTTAATTACATGGTTGTAATGACTTTTTAATTGCATGTCGTGTCTCGTGTATTGAGACATTAGTGTCGACTATCTGCATGTAAAACAAGGAATGGGGAATCACGCGCGGAATGGAAGAGGAACGAGAAAACCCGGAATGTGAAAAACCGGAATCTGTAAACTCCGGAGTTTTAACTAGTAAGGTATTCATTTATACTTACGTTTTCCAGACTCTTTCGTGGTGGTTTGGGTAAAGGCATCGCGCAATCCAATTATGCTGAACCTAAAAGAATACAAAAACGGCGACTTCGGACAACTTCAATGTTTTGCCTTTTCTGTGAAAATGCAAGCGGGACAATGAATGTGACAACCTAGCTAAAAACTAGAAATAATTACAGTCGACATGTGCAAAAAGTCATATTATGCAAGAAAGTGAACCAATGGCAATATATAGTGACTGTCGACAAATTTATTGTATAAAACGTTCTTTATAACTGAACCATACAAAGTCGTTTCTCGTAGGTTCATATGATCCACATTTTTCTCATGTATAATTTTGTCGGAGACTGCCCATTATAATTATAGCATGTTATTAATTTTAGTTAGTTATATATAACGATTCCGATTTTAGGTTGATCAAACTTTTATATTGAACATTACTTTACATAAATTTTATATAGTTAAACTAGGTCGGTCAAGGTGGCAAGTTGTACCAAGGGGTACCAGCACTTTGAGATCTTGTACCAAGGGGTAGCAGCACTTTGGCAACTTGTACGTACTATTTACAACATGAGCGGCCGTGTTGTATCGGACATACAAACTCGAGCCGTATCGATTATATACTTTTGAACAGCAGCGAAAAATCTTCGATTAATCTGCAAATCTTACTTCTCCAGAGCCGCAGTGTAAACAAAGTTGAACCATTTACCTTTCCATACTCACTACTGTCTGACCAAACGCTCCCCAACAATTAGCCATTCCGAAGTTGATGAGTGGACTGTGGACTACCGTAATAGAATGACTCACAAGGGCCGAGATTGGGTGTACAATTTCCGAGTATATTTAAGCACTATAAAGTAGCCTTTCTTGCGAAATTGGTACTGTTCACTTATCTGAAATAAGACTGGATAACGCATCTATTAGCCATTCCGAAGTTGATGAGAGGACTGGGGACGAGTGTTAAAAAGTGCCCAAATTAAGGAATGAACCAAATCACTAAAAAGAGCATCTCAAAATTAGTAAGTATACAAAGTTTAAAGACGTTTACATGAATACCCTTCGAATAATAAGCTTTCGAAAATTGTGAAATTACTCATTAAAAGAGACTGTTTTGGGGACCCGCGTCCCCCAAAACAAAAATTACCGTATTTCATAGTAAATATTGCGATTTTCGATAGCTTATTATTCGAAGGGTATTCATGTAAACGTCTTCAAAATTTGTATACTTACTAATTTTGAGGTGATCTTCTTAATGATTTGATTCATTTCCCAATTTGGGCACTTTTAACACTCGTCCCCAGTCCTTTCACCAACTTCGGGAATGGCTTATTGCACAGCACAAGTAAATAATACAGCAGTGGTGCCTAAATTACTTTGAATTTGTACTCGAGTAAAAGTAGAAGTAGTTGACAATAAAACGACTTGAGTAAGAGTAAAAAGTCACTGGAAGCAAAACGTACTTAAGTGAAAAGTCCAAAGTATCCTTAAAAAATACTTGAAGTCCAAAGTAAAAGTACTACTGTCTGTAGTGTGTAGAGGTGGGGGAGACTTCTCCAATGGATTTACATACAAAAGACACAAAATAGCACACGCATTATATGCGTGCACCGTGTTGTGAATATGGCGGCATGGTTGACTGGCTATTGTATTTGTAATTTGTATTGTGTAATTGTATTGTGTCTGTGAATCAGAATGTATTGTTCTGTACTGGGTGGGCGTAATGCAAATCAGGCTCTATATAAGCCTGAGTCTAGTAAACAAGTGTAGATATATTTTGTGATGTGATATTTTGAAGAATTATATGTGTTTTTGAGACGACTGTTTTCGATGTAATATTTAAAAAACGAGCAGGAGTGTTTTATTAGGTTTAAAGCCACGAGCGCGCAACGCGAGTGGCTTTAGACGTAATAAAACACGACCTGCGAGTTTTTTAAATGGCTTCAAAAACGTTTGCGTAATAAGTCAAATCTTTATATAAAAATCTTTAGATAAAATCTTTATATAAAAATCTTTATATAAAAATCTTTATATAGTTTGCATAACAATGGTCTTTTGTTAAAATGTTCTTTAGCTGGTATAAAGACGTATGCACGTGACTAATTTCTTACTCAAGATTGGATAATTGCTTCATGAATTATTAATGAGTTTTTGAATGATTGATAAAATATCGCGGCGGAACGCGACATTTGGCGACCCCGCCATGCAGGACTCAGTTGAGTTATATTTTACTTGGCTGAAAGATGCCCTTGACTCGAACGCAAGCTGCTCAGGAAGAAACAAACGGCAATGCAGAAGAACAACAGCACAAAGAACAACAGTATAAAGAACCGGAGCTCGAACAAGTTCGCTCGCCGTTCGAAACTGCAGAGTTGTTGACTACAGTACAAGATTACAAGAACAACGAGACCTTTTAAAAGAATATAAAGACCGACAGGATGGCAGAGTTTTCGAAGTGGTCAACATTCTAAACGATGCAATGCAAAACCTATCAAACGAATTTGCTCGTGTTTGCGATAAGAACAGACAACTGGAGACTGTTGTTTTTCAATTACGCGATCGTGTAGAATCACTTGAATCTGAAATCAAAATCTGAAATCAAGCCAAGAGCGATTGGAGAAAATTAATGCTGGAGTTTTCGCTTCGTTGCATCGAATGATTAAAAGCGAGCTTCGAGAAGAGTTTGAATCGGTTTTGTCGGCGCGTGTGAAGACGGAAGAGACGGCAAATGAAGGCTTATCAACCGTGTTAAGCGGGGCGGGACAAAGTAAGCTCGGTAAAGAAAAACAACCAGCAGAGTGCAACGTTACATCGGCTCGTGGGACAGATTATTCTGCTGGTCGCCCGGTTCAAAAACCTGCAGTATTTGACGGACGTAGTTCGTGGGAGGCGTACGTGACACAGTTTGAAATTGTGGCGGAGATTAACCAGTGGGACGGTCCAGATAAAGCCGCCTTTCTGGCAACAAGTCTTAGAGGTCCAGCGCTCACGGTCTTATCAAATTTGCCGTCGGAAAGTCGTGTTCATTACCCATCATTACTGGCTGCGTTAGAAAGCCGTTTTGGAAACAAGAGGCAGTCTGAGCTGCATAGAATGAAGCTACGAAATCGTGTCAGACGTCGAGATGAAACTTTACCGGAGTTGGCAGAAGACATCGAAAGACGTGCCCGTCTTGCGTACCCTGAAGCACCTATTGAAGTTCTAGAAAATTTAACGAAAGATCAGTTCATCGATGCTTTGAACGATGATGAAATGCGTTTAAGAGTCGCTCAAGCTAGACCTACAACTCTTAGAGCCGCGCTCGGAATCGCTTTGGAAATTGAATCGTTCAGCTTGGCCGTACGAAGAAGATTTAGGCCAGTGAGAACAGTGCATGAGACTCCGACTAAAACGAACACAGAATGTTTTGTGGACCCCCAAGAGGAAACGTTGAAAAGGAATAGCGAGTTTTTGACGGAGTTGAAGAAAATGACCTCGGAGCTTCGTGAAGTAGTTAGAAGCGTGAATTGAATAGGAAGAAATCAAGACGGATCACCGCCGAGAGGAAAAAGAAAGTGTTGGACATGTGGTTCGGAAGATCATCTCCAACGGGATTGTCGGTTGTACAACGCCGAAAAGAAGCGTACTGAGTCGGAAAACGAGCAAGAGTCGGGTCAAAGGGCAGGGCCGGATTAACGTCGCGCGAGGCCCGCGGCAGATTTTAGCGCGAGGCCCCTCAACGCCCTCCCCCCCCGTTATGAAAACCTTTGCAATTCAAAGACACACAAAATTGTTAAATAATTGCTTTCAATATTTCAATTGATTGGCATAAATTATAAACAATTGCCTGCCTGGCCTAGTTGTTGGGTCAAAAGTATAAACAGGATCATATATAACAGATCAGCGCGACTGGAGATTACATGCATACGAGTATTGTATATTTTCCTGGCGTAAACTGCCAATCCTAGTGGCCCTAAATGCGCGATGTCCCTAATTCGCGAGGCACCTAAAATGGGCGTATCCCAATAGAAAATAGGCGTGTTCTCGTAAAAATGGGCGTGGCGCAGTAAAGCGCGAGGCCCCCATAAGCGCAAGGCCCGCGGCATATGCCGCATCTGCCACGTGGTTAATACGGCCCTGTCAAAGGGGTGGGGTCCGACGGTAAGAGAAGACACCCCACGGAATCAGTCGAATGGACAGAGACTTGTACAAAGAAAAGATGGACTTTGTGTGGAACGGAAGCTCGAAGGCAAAGCGATGCAGATGATTGTAGACACTGGAAGTAACATCTCAATTGTTACCCGGCAACTGTTACGGAACATTGTGAAAGATCTGTCGTGTGTACAACCTGTTCCAAACTGTTTAAAATCTGTAACTTGAGAAAAGTTGAATCTGTTGGGGACCATTATTCTTAAATTTGCAATTGGCAACCGAGAAATTTTACAGTCGTTTTACGTGGCAGATATCAGTGAATCGTGTATTTTGGGTTTGGACTTTCTGCAGCAACAACGGTGTCAACTCAACATTACGGATGGAATATTATCAATGGGAAATGTTCAAGTTCCTCTTTTGCATCCTTTGACGGACGATTTGAACATGTTTTGTTATCGGGTGATAGCTCTTGAAGATATCAATATTCAACCACATACCGAGGCTGCCATTCCTGCGAAAGTGGTTGATTACACTGGCAAGAATGGGTGGGGAATCATTGAACCCGCTGACGAGGAATCTATTCCTGGAGTCTTCATTGGTAAAGTTTTGACGAAATTAACAAACGAAACCACAGTAGTTCCAATACGAATTGTTAACGTGACGGAGGAAAAGCGTAAAGTTTTAGCTGGAACTGACCTGGCAAAATGTGAGTCAGTAAGCTTCGTTGTTTGTCCTGACTTTGAGAATTGTTTTGAAGAATCCACAACCCGAAACGGAATACCGAAACATCTAGCGGAACTTTACAAGAGTAGTACAAAAGATTTGGTTGATGAGGACCAGAGAAATAAAGTGCTTGACCTGTTGTAAGGAATTGAAACAACTATCTATTATTATATATCAATAGTCAAAGTCGCATTTTTCTAGTGTTTTATTGGTTGAGAGCATATCACGTGAGAGTGACGAAATTAGGCTGTCTCCCTTGCAACAGCGCGAGAGGGAGATAATACGTTATCGACCGGCGAATAACAAAAAAAATCACGTGCGTCATCACGTGATGATGCGACCTTTGGACATGCCTAGTACGTAATTAAAACTTTCGCTTTAAGTAACTGCAGTGTAGCCAGTGTTTAATATAACGTTTTAACAATAAAATATTTCATGTATTTACGTTCATTTGTTCTTTAATTTGTTGTTTCTTTGACTATTGATATATAATAAAACACTTATTTACTGAGACCTCGGGAAAGCAGTGTGTTGCCTCGGGAAACATCGACGGTCTCGGGTCCACAAAACACACTGTTTCCCTCGGTCTCAGTAAATAAGTGATAATTACATTATGGAAGGCTGTTAGACTAGTTGTTTCTTTTAGAATATTTAGACTATTTATTGGGATGTTATTCCAAGCCGCTGCTCCTCTGTAGGAAAAGCTATTCTTTAAGAAATTTGTTTTTGATTTCCTTTGGGACAATTTTAAGTTATTGCTGCGCAGATCGTAGTCGTTATTTTCACAAGTATGAAATAATTGTGATATGTAGTTTGGAAGCATTCCTTTTAGCGCTTTAAATGTTATGAAAAGATCTCGCTTTTTTAGGATTAATTCAATAGGTTCCCAACCAAGGTTTTGAAATATTAGCGAGGACCTTATGCTATAATAATCTGAATTCGTTATAATCCTGGCAGCTCGTTTTTGTAGCTTGTAAAGTTAATATAGGTGTGCTTGATTATTATTTTGCCACACAGTTGAACAATAGACGAAATGAGGCATACATTTATCAATTATTGGACGAGGTTGAGCAAAATATCGTGATTTGTCGGTGGCGAGCAGATCAATTATTTGCCGATGCCGAAGGCAGAGGCAAATAATTGATCTGCGAGCCACCGACAAATCACGATATTTTGCGAGAACCGAGTTCAATAATTGTTTTATCATTCACTTCATTTTATCTTTCGTTCAATATAAATTCGCCGTCTCTCTTTCTTGCTTCTGCATTAAACTTGCGAAGGACGTTGGCAAGAGTTTCTTTTGTAGTTTTAAGCCAACTAAATCTTCTTTGTTGATTTAGTCTTGCTTCTAAATGCTGGCGAAAGACATTGACGGCGGTTTTAGTTGCTTTTTTATTTTTAAATAAGCAAGACAACTCATTTTCCGAAAGTTCAGTAAAGCGAGCCGCCATTGTTTACAAAAATTGAAGGCAATGCGCATGCTCAGACTATTATTTGTAGCTGAGCAACGTTTTTAACAAATGCGCATGCTCAGACTATTATTTGCACACAGTTATTTGCAGGTAAATTAACCAATCAAAATTGAGAACACTATAAAGTGAATGATAATATACATTATTTTAAGTGTGTCTAAGTCTACGAAATCTTAATAGATTAATATTACTTGAGATCTTTTTATATTCATTTTGTTCTTCATTTTGTTTATTCCAGTTAAATTTGTCGTCAATAGTAATACCTAGAACTTCTTTTTTATAGACACGGTCGATTTAGTGTCCGTTAATTGTGATATTTGGCATGTGACTTAAGTTTTTCAATCGTTGTCGAGATCCAATAATCATATATTTAGTTTTTTTAACGTTCATTGTTAATTTATTCGCTGATAGCCATTTGTGAATATTTATTAGATCATTGTTGATCGAGTTTTCTTTCAATATCTATTGATGAATTTCCTTGACATGATAGAGTTGTGTCATCTGCAAATAGATTTGCATGGGTTGATTTAAGGTATTTCAGGAGATCGTTAATATAAATTAGGAATATATAATAGAGGACCAAGGTTAGATCCTTGGTGTACCCCACAATGAATTGTTTGAATATTTGATCTACAATTATTTAGAACGCAAATTTGCTTTCTGTGATCCAAATACAACTAAAACCATTTAAGTGCAGTACCACGCACTCCATAAGCTTCAAGTTTTGTTAATAGGACTGATCTGGTGGTCAATTGTATCGAACGCCTTTTTAAGGTCTAAAAATATAACCCCATTAATTAAACCTTGGTACATTGCCTTTAACCACATTTCTGTAGATTGAAGTATTTCGTTGTTTGCTGACCAGTTTTTCAAATATTTTTGCGATGCTGGAAATGACTGATATTGGTCTATTGTTTCCACAAAGCGTTTTGTCATCAGTTTTATATATTGGAGTTACCCCAATCATCAGAAAATATTCCTGTTTCAAGTGATAGGTTAAATATATAAAGGTAAAAGCATTTGTAGAATGATTCATGTATGACAGAGGGTGTGGACTAGTGTCACTATCATCAAGAAAGGAAGAAGCGTAAAGTCCAGAAACGCACTGATGACGGCAGAAAAGAGTGATAAAATCTCTGAGAGCGACTGGAATTACAATGAATTACAATGATTTAACATCCTCGACATTTTTTTACAACACGCGCATGTTTTTCCGCGGTGTTGCGCACACGTGCTCTCCGCGCTTGTGTTTCTCGCGCATGCGTAGACAAAAGTCCTGTCTGTTTAGTCCAAGGTTGAAATTAGCTGGTTTATTATATAGTTTCTGAGTCACAATATACAAAACGCAAGGTGTTTAATTAACATACAATTATATATTACGAAAACGACGCTAGCGCTACATTAAAACACACTTTCGGTGTTTCGTTACGCAGTAAGTAAGTGTTATTGCCTAATTCTTACCTCCAATGATGTTACAGCGTACCCCTGCGTCTTCATAGTGTTCACAATTGCTATCTCCCACTGCATCATGGATGCATGAAAATAGCGATGACTCAGTACCTACATAATCAACATCATCAAGCCAAATCGGCCCAGTCCCCGCAAACTGTTCCCCATGTACCGTTATAGTAAACCTCAACTCTTCCTTCATTGGCACGTTCGCCGCCAACAAGTCGTACGCCTGAAATTTTAAAAATGTTAATGATTATATAGTGTATATCAGTTAACAACACCTTAAAACGCAACAGAATGAGTAAACAAAGGGTACTGTGAATGCAGCCAATTCCAAATCAGTCGGTAATCCCTGTATTATCTCGAAGGAAATGCGTTAACTTTTTATTCACCTTTTCTATCTTTGTAAATTGGTGCGAATGTGAGTGTGCACAACCAATTTTTGCCGGGGAGGTACACATATTCGGACTGCATGCGTGCAACATATTTTTGTGACAGTTGCAACGTAATTTAACTCATAGTCTCATATCACTGTATTTCCTACGACACACAAAGTGGCTGTGAGAGAGACTGCGTATCCCCATAAGACCTCTTAAAGCTACGACTCAATGAGTGGAGGTTCAATCTGAGCTTCCCCTCAGTGTCAAAGTTGTTTTTGAATAGTTGGACGGCGAGTAGTCACATAGTACGGTACGGCACTATAACCCTCCGGATCTCGATCTCAAAACTTGAAAAATAGGATCCCAATCAAATTACATTAATAAGATTATCAGATTACGCATATTTCAGTGATCTTTTGCAAAGGGATGTCCTGAACATAAGGTCTTCGAAGCTAAGACCCTGACTTTAAGGTCATATATTAGTAAAAAACCCCACAAACATATTAACTAAATCAGATCATAGACAATCGAGAGGAATTCTAACCCTATTTTTACTTTATCCCAATTCCAACATTACCGCAATCCAAACCCCCGTACTAACCCTACCCCAACAAAACCAACAGGGCCTTTTTTAACATACAAGCTGGGGGGGGGGGCAAATGCCCCCAGTCCCCCCTTGTGCCTGCCCCCTACCCCCTACGAAATCCCCCCACCAGCGAAGAATAACAAATAAATAAACGGAGAGTAAATTTTAGGCTGAATAACAACATTTGTCCTTGTTTAACAAAATCGATTTAAATTGTTACGTTTTTCTACTCACTAAGTAATGATAAATTATTATGAATAATTTGTATAATAAATTTGGATGCTCAGAATGCAGGAAATCGCATTTCCGAGCTTAAAATTTCAAATTTTTTTCTCGGGCAGCAGCATACCCTCACACACGTGGCCTTCGGCCATTGCTATCTCCCTCTAATAAGTGATGATAAATTATGGTTAATATTTTTTTACATTTTGTGCGTTTTTTCCTTCTTTTATTTCAAATACGAGTATAGTTAGCACAAATTTTAGGGATCGGGCATAAAGTATGTGTACTGGGGGGGGGGGTGGAGGGTAAGTTGGGGGTATGAAACAAATTATCTAACTTTTTGGGGGGTATGAGACAAATTACGACATTTGGGGGTACGAAACAAAAAATGAGTGGAATACTATGTCTATGATTAATGAAACTACAGGCAGGGTGTTAGCTAGACCATATACTGTCCGTTTGACGGACTATTCCCAATTGAAGTAGCTAAGGGGCTTTCCCAACTGGGTCTACTGGACGTTTTTCTGATGAGAAAGTGCATTGCGTTTGATTTCATATTATTATATCAAAGAACGTTTTATTTACTTTTTCCCATTAACTATTTTCTCAAAATGTATCGCGTTTCATTCATATTGGGTGTGTATTCACTGAAATGAAATGTACAAAACAAAGCGTAATCGGTGTGCATCCGTGTTCATTCCCCGGAAATGAAATATACAAAACCAAGCTACCGTTGTATGCATCTAAGGAGAAACACGTTGGAAAAAACACTATTTATTCTTACACAAGGAAAAACCTTCCCAATTTACGTTTAGCGGACAAACTTTCTTTTTCTGGCTAACACCCTGTCGAGTGTATGTTCCTAAATGTTCCTAGCCGTAAATTGCAATGTAGCACAGTAGTATTTATGAAAGTGTCTCGATCGGAACCTATTAGTTTGACATGTCTGCAACCTGAACGGTCTTTGATTGCGTTATTCTACCGTCGGGTGGCTCCCCTGCACATTTACTTTTAAAATGATTTAAATATTGAGAAAGATATGAAATACGTCACGACGTTCTGTTGATATAACCAAAGTTTACTGATATGTGAGATCCTAACCTGAGATCAGGCTCTATTTTAGAAATATAGCCTGACACGCACAGCAAAGTTTATATTTAGTATCCAATCAAAATGTCGCAGGAGAAATTTGCAACTAACTGGAGAGTAAAATCAGCAAATAATTTTGTGAGTAATTTGTTTGTTTCACAATTTTTTAATTAATTAATGAATTGGTGTTTTGAGCGTTTTTGTATAAAAATTGGTGTTAAGATTTTGAGTAATGTTTTTCCTTTTTTCTAGATCTGACCCAGATTTTCACCAAGGGCATATAAATAGTATTATTATATAAAGTATAGTGCATCATAGAGATGGCGAGCACTGATAAAAGTGATAATCTCACATGTGAGATTATTTATGATAATCTCACAATCATGTGAAAATTATCGCTTTTCAATTATCACTTTTCTGTAAAAATTATCGCTTTTCAAAGACTGCCCTTTATATAATAAACAGAAAAATACATGGGTGCTTGGGAATACCAGATTTATTTCTCGTGTTGAACATGATATCTCACTTGTTCTCTGCACTCACTCGTAAGATATTGTGTTCAGCATGTACACTCTCTATCTATTAACTACGTTAAATATTTCAATACAGACAATATATTGATTGCAATAATTTGAAAAACAGTTATGTTCTTAGAATTTTATGTTTTTGGGGAGAGGTGATTGTTTGGGTGCGGGGGGTTACGAAACATTTCATCTCCTTTGAGGGGGGTATTAAATATTTTCCGACGCTTTTGGGGGGTTGCCAAATTTTATGGTAGAATTTTGGAATACCCTCCACCCCCCAGTACACATACTTTATGACCGGTCCCTTAGAGCAAATTTGGATGCTTAGAATGCAGGAAATGGCATTTCTGGGCTTCAAATTTCAAATATTTTCTGGGGAGTATAACCCCAGACCCCCCTATTCATACGAGGGATGTTGGCCACACACGTGGCCTTCGGCCATTGCTATCCCCTCTAATATATTATCTTACAGAAAGGTCCTTTTTCAAAAAATCCCAGGAAAATACTTAAAAAAGGCCCTGAAAACCAACCAAACCTTACCTTGTTCAGTATTATTGACTTCTGCGGTGCTGTTTGGACGTGCTGTGAAAAGGGAATTCAGAAAATTTAAAGAAATTACAAAGATGCGCGGCGAAGATAGTAACAAAATGGTAGTGACATTGCCCTTACAAACTTACAATGGAATAATGTGGAAGATAGACGTAAGCGTCACGTTTTCAATCTTGTAAGAAGGTCAATGTAAGGTTAATGTCCGCAATTTTTACAAATTTACTTTACTTGTAATAAGGATATTGTCCCACGATTAAAAGGACAGAGTTCCCTCTTACACTTGCCAAGAGAACATTAAAGACTCAGCTTTCCTTGTTTGTTGCCGAACATAAAAAAGACTGGGATAAGTATGTACCACTACTTCTCATGGCGTATCGAACGGCAACTCATGCTTCTACGCATTTTACTCCCGCGCGACTAATGATTGGACGAGAAATTAGAACCCCAATTGATTTAGTTTATGAACGACCCGATCCGGAAGTTGTTGAGAGTTACTCTACCTACGTTCGAGAACTGCAAGAAAATTTGCAAGTAACACATGAGTTCGCGCGAAAGTATATTGAACAAAGCTTTGAGTCGATGAGAAAACGTTATGACGTGGACAGTTCGGCATGTATATTTAACGAAGGTGATCAAGTTTGGTTGTATAATCCCCGCAAGAAGAAAGGAAGAAGCGTTTGCGACCTTGGGAAGGACCGTATGTTGTCATTAAACGGTTGAACGATCTTGTTTATAGAATTCAGCGAGACAGGAATGGAAAACTAAGGGTGGTTCATCGGAATCGTCTATGGGCGTATCGCGGTGATCAGTCAGAACTTTGGAATTCGGAGACGGACAGTTAGACCATACTTAATGGAGGAGATGGTTTGGAAACTCGTTAGCATTACAATAAAATCGCAATAAACCTCATTATCTATGTTGTTCAGGTTTATGCAAAAATGTTGTCTTTCATCGTCACGTGCGTATTGTATTTTTCTCAAGTCAACCAATAGGAATGTTCAAAATGTCCTATTGTTAAAGTCATGGATGGGCAATTGGACAAAACCGTTGCTATTGGCTGGTTGAGCAAAAATACAATACGCACGTGACGATGAAAGACCACATTTTTGCATAAACCTGAACAAAAACATAGCCAGTGAGGTTTATTGTAATGCTAATAAGTTTCCAAACCATCTCCTCTATTAACTATGGTTAGACTTAGAAAGTACATGCACCATCATTGGGACAATTCGATGGTTTGGTTGGGGGCGATGTTGTGAATATGGCGGCATGGTTGACTGGCTATTGTATTTGTAATTTGTATTGTGTAATTGTATTGTGTTTGTGAATGTATTGTTCTGTACTGGGTAGGCGTAATGCAAATCAGGCTCTATATAAGCCTGAGTCTAGTAAGCAAGTGTAGATATATTTTGTGATGTGATATTTTGAAGAATTATATATGTGTTTTTGAGACGACTGTTTTCGATTGATTGATAAAATATCGCGGCGGAACGCGACAACCGAATATACAATATTTCACGGCATGGTTTACTTTCCAGACCCCGTTGAAGATATACGAAATCCATTAAATAAATAATGCTTATAAGTAAGTCACAAACGAGAGATCCCAGACGCATGTAGAGGTCCTATTACTATTAGCAATCCAAAAATTAAAATAAATCAGAAATAAATCACCTAAAATTAAACAAAAGTTAGAAAGTAACTAAATACTTCGCCACAAAATGAAAGTAACAAAGTAAAACGTTACTTCTTGAAACGACTTCGTTCCAAGTAAAAGTACTGCGGAAAAGTTTACTTTGTTACATGCTGACTTCTCAAAATTGTACTTAAGGTAATTCCGCAGTTTTGCATTGCGCACTTTTACTGCGCACATCTTATAACTTGTAATTTCATCCATTATACGTACCGTTTAAAAAAAAAAAATTTTATGACAATTTTATGTTATTTCAAAACATCTTTGGTTACATTCGTGCAAAGAATTTCGTTAAAATCAATGTTTTCAAAAAAGGCGTACAAAAGTGTAGCTAGGGTTCCCTGTGTCTGTAGTATATTTATTTACTTGTATTTCACGTTTTAATGCCACAATTCCCTAAAAAGATCGGTGACCCCCGTTTTTTAACTGATAATTTATTTCTTTAATGCATTTTACATTTCATATCCGAAATTAAAAGAAAAATCATGTCTGGATCTTGAAAAAAACTGCTTTATCAATGCATGTTCTCAAAGAAAGATATGTAAAGAAATGTGGAAAAGACATTTGTGGATCAGAATTGTACACGTTAGTAGTTTCATTTTGCTCAAAACACAATATTTTTTCAAAAATAATTACAAGAAAAACGTCAATAAATATCGGGCTGTTGTGATTTTGCTGTTACTCGTAATGAGCGTCAAGATGGTGCCATATTGGGGCAAAGGTGGTATATTGTGATTGTCATATTTTCTTAACGAGTTCGGTGACCCCGACTTTTTTGTGTGATTTTACTTTAAGTATATCATAAACTCCATGCCTGGGAAGTTTCAGCACATTCTCATTTCGGGAACAATTACTGCGGAATTACCTTAAGTACAGTAACGAAGTACATTTACGTAGTTACCTGGCACCACTGTAATACAGTTTTCTGAGCAGCATATCGTGGACATATAAAATGAAATAGTGAAGCACATTGAAATTCCTCACGATCCACACACGAGCAACTTGGTGATACATTTTATCCGAAATAAGTAACTAGATTTAAACCGGAAAAGTCTAAAACGAGTATGTAGAATTGAACCGTATCTTGCCAGCGAATACTTTTATAAAGGGGGTGATGTCAAATTTTCAAAATATATACGTTGGAATGCACTCCTATAGGACGAAAAACCAACGTTCCGTACATCGTTGTCAAGAGTATTCCACATATATTATAGGACGAGTATTATAGGACGAGAAAACAGCTAAGAGTATGATATTTGTGATGTTACTCTGAGTGTATATCCACACCGGGCGAGCTTGAAAAAATATGCCCGGCCACGGTGGGAATCGAACCTACGACCTTAGGAATACTAGCCCTTAGGAATACTAGTCAAGTCTTTCATCAAGTCGGACGTGTTTTTTTTCGCTGAGCTAAAGAGCTATGGCTGATGAAAGTGTGAGAGAATCCAGTGATTTTGAAAAGCATTACACACTTAACGTTGGTTCGGCTAACGTAGAAGAGTGTAGTCGAAGTCTGATTATTACTAACAAAGGAAGTTTTAAATGGTCTGGAGAATTTGAAGCTTTACAAACGCTATTTGATGATATCCTGAAGAGCCAGACAAGTTGGTCAAAACCGGGTGGTAGCTGTAGAAAATTGGAAGTTGCAGACCAGTTAATAGTAAGATGGTACTCTGATAGTCGCTCACTTACACTTAACGGGAGTAAAGACGAAGAAATTAAAACTTGTTTGCGAGAATTAGCGAAGGAAGCAATAGACCATGACATGAATACATCAGATAGTAGCTTTGAAAATCAAAAAGACTCTCCATACCAAATTAAGTTTGATGGAGAGGACAAATCATTGGAAAGTCAAGCCGATGTCTCAGCCAAAATTACTGCAGAAGATCTGACAATGATCTTGGAAAAAATCGAGAAAATTAAGCAGAAACTAGAACGCAAAATTGATGACATATCTCTCGAAGTATGCAAATTTCAAGATGCCGACAGCTTTGCATTAACATTGTCACGAGAGCATATCTCTTTTATTAAAGATGAAAATGTACAGCTAAAAGCGGAAAATGACTATTTAAAAAAAGAACTGGAAAATGCTACTCTTGTAATGTCGGATCTCAACGAACATGTAAAGTTGATGGTAGAAGAAAAACAGAGCTTAATTACTGCATTAAAAATTCTGCAAAACAATGAAATTGATGATGGCAGGAACAAAAGATGGCATATTGCATCGGATAGAAAACAACAGAAGGTCCCACAGTTCAAACCAATCGAAGTATCAACTGACAGTGAAGACAATTATCTTTCAACAAACAGATATTCGGAACTTACAGATGAAGCCCTATTAAACGAGCAACAACTCGAAGAGACATCCCAAAAAAACGAGCAACAAATTAAAGTGATATCCCAGCCAAGGACTAACCAAACAAACATGCCGCGGGGTCAACAATCAAGTAAACTGCCTGGTCAAAAACCAAGCAGACGCAAAACCAAAGATAGCGATCAACGAGAACAACAAACCGAACAAAACGGTCCCAACGTGCTTCCGAATTTAAGGGAAACAAATCAAACTGACAATCGTAATCGAACAGATAGTGCAGCAACAGAATTATCCAAGCGAGACCTGAACAACAACAATTCAAAACCTGACGAGCGAAAACCAATACTAATAATTGGTGACTCGATTATAAAGCACATTAATCCAAATAAATTATCTCGAAGAACGGTGCATAAATTCACCTATCGCGGAAAAACATGTGAAGAAATTAGTGAAGCTATTGACAATACCCAGACAAAGATTGACCCATCTCATGTTATTATATTTCCATTGTGGTACAAATAATCTAGCCATCGACTCTGCTGAGGTTTGTGCTACTAAAATTATAAATTTGGCTATTATTATATAAATTTGTGAACTTAATTTAAAAAGATGGGGATAATGAGATCATGAACCAATAATCGTCCTGTGTCTTCGACCAGGGCACTCCACAATTACAGCTCTAATTCAAATGTGTGATAACTGGTACGAAAATATGGATAATGGCAAGTTAACAGGGGTAGTTTTTATTGATATCAGAAAAGCTTTTGATTCAATAGATCATGTTATACTACTTGAAAAACTAGATTTCTACGGAGTTTCTCAATTTGGACTTGCATGGTTTCAATCCTACCTCTCAAATCGGCAACAACAGTGTCAAGTAAATGGCTACCTCTCTAATAAAGGTGAAATCATTTGCGGGGTTCCACAAGGTTCCATACTTGGCCCGTTGTTCCTAATTTATATCAACGATTTACCCAATTGTCTAAAGACAACAACACCCTGTCTATATGCAGATGATACCCAAATTTTTGCCTCTTCGTACGACTCTGTTGCGCTGGCTAATGATATTAACTCTAATTTAGAAAATGTCACAGATTGGCTAAATGTAAGAAACTCCAATCCCATCCTTCTAAGGCTAAGCTTATTGTCACAGGATCCAAACAAAATTTGACCAACAAAGTTGGTGAATTGTACAACAGTATTATCATGAACAATAACGTAATTTCATCTGTTGTCTCGAATAAATGTTTAGGAATTGATCTTGATGACAGGTTGACTTTTGATATTAATATTGAAGAAATATGCAAGAAGAGGTAGCAGTTCAGGCATAGGAGCATTGAGGAGAATTAAACCATTCGTTCCGCAGACCTCTCTTGTTACATTATACAAATCATTAATTCAACTATATTTTGATTATTGCTCTCCCTTGTGGGATACATGGGATAAAATATTAAAAGATAAATTGCAAATATTACAAAATCGTGCGGCTAGAGTTATCACTGGAGCAAGATATGATGATAGGATTAGATCAAGTGATCTTTTGGAAGGCTTAGGATGGGATAATCTACATGTTAGGCGGGCTAAGTTGAAGAGTATCCTAATGTATAAAATCCTTAATGAAAATTGTTCGCCATGTTTAAGAGAAAGCCTCGTAAGACTTAGCGAACTTAATAGAGGCCATAATTTACGAAATCAGGAAACGGATCTAGCTCTTCCAAAACCAAAAACTAATTTTTTGAAGCGAAGCTTTAAATATAGTGCATCAATGCTGTGGAATAATCTTCCATTAGATGCAAAAAGAGCGACTTCGCTCAGTGAATTTAAGCGTAGCATTGCGCGGCTGTCCTTTTAGAACCATGTTGACTTAATTACAGTTAACTCTCTTTACTTACTTTACTTACTTTATTTTTCTTTGTTGTTGGGGGAGGAGGGGAGGTTGGGGGTTCATATATTATTCTATATATTTTACATATCACGCCCCTCCTGTAAATCAGCTTTCAGTTGTGCTAGCGTGTTTTCATTTTAAATAAAATTGATTGATGATGATGATGATGATGATGATGATGATCAATGCAAAGTTTATACCGTTTCCAGATAACAATTTAATGGCATATTATAAGATTATAAATAATGTGAACCAAAGGCAAAGGAAGAGCAGAAACGTGTGAAATGAAAGTGCCTTTCATATTACTGGAATACTTTACCAAAACTCATAACTAATAAATCTAATTCATTAAATTACTTGACTACTACCTCTCTGCTTTACAATTTAACTATAACAAAGATGATCCTCGTTCGTGGAAAACAATTTGTTTAAAGTGTAATCAGACTCATGATCTCACTAAACCTCTTGCATGCTGTTTTCAAATGATAATTTTTTAAGAGACAATGTAAATGCTTTTGTATAGTTTAAGAATATTTGTTTGTTGTCTGATGGGATCACAGTAATTGGCCAAAAGCTGTCGTGAATACCCTGTCACAATTGTTGTAAATTGTTGTATTGTTAGATCTACAGGGTGTATAAAAAAGGCTAGTCTTTGAAATTCAAATTAGTCATACTGTATTGAATTTATAATTACTGCTAATCAATTAACGAGCCGTAAAACAAAAGATTTTCTACTTATGGGACCTGACGAAAAACTCAAATTATCGTTGAGAATCATTGAAGAATTCAATGCTTTACGGCAAAATCGTGACTTTAAGAGCCGTGCGTCATATGCGTACAAGAACCACTCTTTGACTTCAGAGAAACGGTGGTCATGTTGAAGGACAAGGCGCTTAAATTTATCTTCAAATAATTTTAACTTATTTGTGTGAAATAAACACCCTGCAATTAAAATAAAGTTAATTGATCTCTTTTGTAAATAACACACGTTTTTGTCACGTATCATTAACTCTACGCAGTTTAGAACAATGAGATCACTGTAATTATGACTAATTTGAATTTCAAAGACTAGCCTTTTTTTTATACACACTGTATAGTGCATTTAACAGTTATTCTACGAATTCGAGTCGAATATGAGCTGATAGCCGATGAGGCGCGTAGCGCCGAATCGGCTACTGCTAATATTCGACGAGAGTGAGTGGAATAACTGTTTTATTATATACACAAGTTCTGAATTCACAGATTTTGCTTTTCGGATATTTTCAATATTTTTCTATTTTGTTTATGTTTTAATTTTCGTTCTTTCGGCCGAGTATTTTTTTAAAATATATATTTTTGCTAACCTGTAAACAATTTGTGGGAGTTTTTTCGTTGTGTTGTTGATCCTGTAAAGGCTAAAAAATGCGAACAACTTGCCGTTTTCTCGTTCGCAAAAAGTCGGAAATTCAGTTTGAGCCGCCATTTTGTTTTTCTCTACTAGCAGGATATGAGCTAATATCCTGCTAGTAGAGAACCAATCAGATTGCAGAATACCTCATATCCAGACCTTGTGTATATAATAATTCGAGTTATCTTGCATCTACGGTTTTCATGTCTGTTTTAATATGGTTTTAACAGTTTGTTAGTCTTGGAAAACGATACATGCAGGATAGCTCGGAATGTGTTATAGTCATTATAGTATTTAGATATGTAATTTATATTGTGACGAAGTTTATAAAATTAAAATTAAAAAAAAAAATTTAAAGAATTAAAGTGTGCCCCGAGAGAACATAAGAACAATAGTGTCGCGCAATGTTTTCATGCTGTTTAAATTACGTCATATCCTATGAGAAGAGAATCATGGGATCGGAGAACACTTATGCCTCGTGTGTGTGTCTCACTGTCTCGTATTGTAAAAAAACCTTTATAAAACTTATAATATATAATAAAATATACCGAAATAAACCAAATGAGTTCAACAGGTTATGGGCCCAGGAGCAATGCTAAGCTGCAAAGACTTTTATTTGACGGAGATGAAACGAAATACGAGCTTTGGGAAGAGAGGTTACTCGGTTATTTGCAAACCATAAAATTGAAGAAAACAATTCTATCGTCGGCTCCACTTGAGGAAGAAGGCGACAAAGCGAAGAATGAAGAGAGTTACGCCGAGTTAATACAACTTTTGGATGGTAGGCCTACTAGCCTATCGTTAGTGATGAGAGATGCCGCTGGCGATGGAAGGAAAGCCTTAAAGATTTTACGAGACCACTACGCAAGCCAAGGTAAACCTAGAATAATAGCACTTTATACTGAGCTCACGTTACTCGAGAAAGGAACAAGCGAGACAGTGACAGACTATCTAATACGTGCAGAAAGATCGATTATGGCCCTGAAAAACGCTAAAGAGACACTTAGTGACGGGCTTGTTATTGCCATGATATTAAAAGGCTTACCTGACTCATACAAATCCTTTGTTGTCCATATTACACAAAGTACAAGTGAAATTACATTTGCTATTTTCAAGTCTCAACTGAAAAGCTTTGAAGAAACAGAGAAGTTTAATGTAAGCCAAAGACTGATCAAGTAATGAAAACTGAGTCCCCATCGTTTTCTGCATCCAATTATGTCACATGTTATGCTTGTGGTCGCAAAGGTCAAATCATGAAGGATTGTCCTGACAAAACTAAGAGTGAAACAAGAAAGTGGTGCTCATACCACAAGTCAACAACGCATAGTGATAGTACCTGTCGAAGACATCAACGAAAAGACCCAGAAGCTACAAAAGTAAAACAAGCGACATTTGGTGGCCAGTCCGGTGACCCAGGGGATGAACACTCATACACTTTTCATGTGCAAGGGAGCCACCTTAAGCAGTCACAGTACAAAGCAAATGGGATGCTTGTTGATACTGGAGCTACATCTCATATTGTTACAAAAGATGTATTGAAACGTGTTGATGGTAACTTTAACCCAGCAAAGCATTACATGGAACTTGCTGATGGGACACGTAGAAATAATGTAGCACTGAAACGTGGAGGTGCTGAAGTATCAATAGCAGATGAAAATGGAAAATATGTGAAAGCTGTTCTGAAAGACGCACTGTTCATACCAACGTTAGCCTGCATGGCAGGCGGTCTAAAATAGCGCCTGCTGGGTTTGGCAGTGTAATTTGATAACCGCCCACTTTTTTGTCCATCGGTCCAATTAGCCAATCAGCAAACACTAAATATATTAATAATCAAACTGTCAAACACTCAAACTATGTTATTGTCTGATCGCAAAATTGCAAATATAAAATATGTCGAAAGAAACGCCATTGAAAGTTTCAATCAGGACCTCTGAATAACGACAAGAGGTAGAAAAGCAAGCGCGGAAAATGTAAATGACCACTTTCGTTTGTCTACTAAGTGTGCTTTGAAACTAAAACACGGGCAATAGAGAAAATATCTTATATATCGTCGGAGAATTTTGCAAGCAAAAGAAACGATTACGACAGTGGCAAAACCTTGGCCGATCAATAAGCCGATCACGAATTGTGTTCAGTTCACTTAGGATTTGAAGTTAGTTCTACCTCGGAACTATCCGACAGAGTTTGTAAACCGTGTGGACGAAAGATCCGAAACGAAAGCGAACTGATTGCCATATTAAATCAAACGAGACATAAACGCGTTGCCTGTGTACGTATCGAACAAATAGACTGTTGTATAAAAACGTCGGTTGCCAATATAAACTGTCTTGTCTCCCTAACGAAGCCGTGTGTTAAAGAAAGCCCTAAAATGCGGCTAATAGGCCTAGGCGTAGTAGTCCTGTTATAAAACCCGTTGCAAGAAAGACTATACTAGACTAGACCGTCTGTATTTATTCTCGTTATATTTTCTCGCGCCAACAAGAACAATGTAAAAATCGAGCTTTTCCCATAACCTGTAAACGGCCAAAACATTCATTCCAAGGAGTAAATCTTTAACTGCTATCTTTTGCTCGCGTTTGTATTAAGAATCAGTTTGCGTTTCGACATTCGAGAAACCTTCAGTTAAAATTAAAAGCGAATCAATTCCAGTCCACTGGTGGACGGGGAATTCGATTACACTGCCAAACCCAGCAGGCGGTATTTCCCAGGCTTGCCTGATTTTAGGGACCGCCTGCCATGCAGGCTATACCAACGTATCCACAGGATATATTTTCTGTTAGAGCAGCTACTTCAAATGGAGCCAAAGTAAAGTTCTCACAAGATAAAAATGAACTTGTCTACAAAGATGGTACAACTTTCATTATTGAGGAACATGAACGCTTGTATTATTTGAACACTGTTAATCAACTAAATGATGATAGCAATATAAGTAGTTCATATGATAAGGTAAGTCTTGCATGCAATATTTACAAGTGGCATGAAATATTAGGGCATTGCAATTTCGATGATATATTGAAACTAGAAAATGTAGTCACTGGAATGAAAGTTGTAGGGAAGGTAGATAGGTCCAAGTTAGAATGTGGTACATGTACGAAAGGGAAGTTTGCAAATTGTAGAAATAGAGCGCCAGATAGTCGAGCTACAAAACTCTTAGAAAAGGTACATACAGACTTAGCAGGTCCCATGTCCAAAAATGGTTTTAAATATTGCATTGCATTCACTGATGATTTTTCTGGAGCCATTTTTGTATATTTCCTTAGAAATAAGACTGACACCCTATTAGCAACTGTGAACTTTCTTGCTGATTGTGCACCTTATGGCCAGGTAAAGTGCTTGAGGTCAGATAATGGCACAGAATTTATGAATGGTGATTTCCAAGATCTTCTTAGGAAAAGAGCCATTAAGCATGAAACTTCTTGTCCAAATTCTCCCCACCAGAACGGAACAGCGGAAAGGTATTGGCGGACACTATTTGAAATGGCTAGGTGTTTGTTGTTGGAGAGTGGTGTGCCAAAGATATTGTGGCCATATGCCGTCCAAACTGCTGCTCATATTAGAAATAGGTGTTACAACAACAGGACTAAGAGTACACCCTATTTTAGCATGACAGGGAGAAAACCAGACCTGTCAAAGATGTGGGTGTTTGGCTCAGAGTGTTACATTTATAACTATGATCATAAGAAACTAGACCCTAGGTGTATAAAAGGAGTATTTGTCGGTTATGATAAGAACAGCCCAGCCCACCTTGTTCATCACCCACAGTGTGGTAAAGTCATGAAACACAGATTAGTAAAGTTTATTAAGAATACCAGTGCAGAACAATGCACACAGACTGAAATTGATGATCTAGGTCTTTGTGGAAAGGAGGAAAATGAAATTTCCCCAAATAATGTTCAGGGACAGGAGAAAGATTCTCCCGAACCTGAAGAAATTGTTGAAAACTTTGATTTAGGCGAAGGGCCACAGTTAGATGTTGAAGATAGTAAAGAGGTTGAAGATGATTACGAGACTAAGGTTTATCCTCAGAGGGAGAGAAAAGTCCCACAATATTTTGGAGTCAATAATTCAGCCAATGTAAGGGACCGTTCATTATTTATGCCTCAGGGGGGCACCGAAGAGAAATAAAAATTGGCTACTTTTTTTTAATTACCCAACCATTTTCGAAGTATTATTTTCTTTTACCCAACCCTTATGCAACTCAAGATTTGTATCGTTATAAACAGCTTGTTTTTCATATATAAACTACTTGTTTGATACACACACATGAACATTGAATTTCAAAACTATTTTTACTCAAGTAAAGAAATTTGAAAAATCCAGATAAAGGACACCTACCAGAGGGTTCCTATTCAGTAAAGGCTAATTTTTCCTTTACCCACCATTTCTACATACCAAATTATTGGTTACCCACCCCATTTCTCTTCGGTGCCCCCCTGAGGCATAAATAATGAACGGTCCCCAAATGTTGATTATTGTTATAAAGTTTGAAGCAGAAATCCCGAAAATCCAGTGTCAGTGAACGACACAACATCAAACGTTTGAAAGGTTCTTTATGCACCTATCATTGTTTCCCCCTGAGGGGGGGGGGGGGATGCGGGAAACCCAAGGGACTTTGACCACACTATGAAGCCAGGGGACTTTGACCACACTATGAATTTGACCATGCATCAACTCCCAGAGTCGGGAAATTTTGACATCCGCCATCTTGAAAGTTTGCGCGGTTTTGACATTGAAAGGCCTGGTAATAAATATGGCGGAGAAGCACGATCAAGTTTCATCGAAAATGGTATTTTATAGCCTTTTATACACAGTGTCTCAATTTTTACCAAGTTTAAACCAGTATAGACTGTATGTTCGCATTGGAAAACATAGGTGTGCCTTGTTATCTTAGGAATATAGTGGGGAATTTTAACAGCCGTTCCTTGCCCAACAGTGGGGATTTTGACTACAAAATTTTAAAAATGTCAAAATTCCCCTTGGTTGCATTATTATATAGATACTGATATTTAAAGAATGAGTCTCAACCGTGATGTATTGCGCGCTTGTGTTTATTTACAAACGCTGAAAGAACCTGTCCGAAGGCAAACACGCAGGCAGTATCACTGCACTCGGAAATTCTCACCTGGTTTTATATAAAATTTTATAGTCAAGCAATTTTGCCATTTTTGGAGCTCTTTTTTGTAAAGAAAGTGAAGATGTCTGACTCCGAATCGGATTCAGATCTGGCTGTTGAACAGTATGATCCAGAAGACAATCTGAACGCTTATGGATCGCCAGTCGTACGACCTGTGGACGAAGAGATTTTGGCAGTTGCACCTGCACGTCAAAATATTGAAAGTAATCGAACTCAAGTAAGTGTTCTTGTTTTGTTTAAAAATAATCACATTTTATAGTATTTTATTTATAGTGTTTTTTTGAACAGTATACTACAGAACGTGTATTTACATATTGAGTATTTATTACTCGCTGGGGTACTGTGCCCCGGGCGAGTATAGGTTTCGGCATTCATTTTTAGTGGATCGGCAATCTCCAATCGTCGTCGATAGCCACAAAATAGAATATTAATGAGCTGCCTAATTTTCCCCCAAATATCCATAAGGCTCTTGCCAATTTTACCCAAATTATCCATAAATAGCCCTCCATTTTGAGAAAAATTCGGGAAAATTGAACAATTTTACAAGGAATTTCGCATGGAAACAGCAATCTTCGCAAATCGCAAGTTTATAAAAGTTTATACGTTTGACTGCGCTGCTTTATATTTTGAGAAGAAAGCGACACCATTCGATTCAGCGTAAGAAATTGTACTTACGGATGTCAAGTGTATTACTAAACACCCGTATTCTAGCGATTATGGCCTTTGAAAATGAAGCGAAATTGTATTGTTGAAAAATCGCTCGCAGTACGTATTGTTGATCACAAATCAGTATCACTCGCACTACGTTTGTCCACAGGTTTGTCCTTGTATTTGTAATGCCTAATGGCGCAATAAGGATAAAAAATACCACCGTTCGATTCAGCGTAAGAAATTGTACTTACGGATGTCAAATGTGTTACTGAACACCAGTATTCTAACGATTTATGGCCTTTGAATTGAAAATCAAGCGAAATTGTATTTGTTGACAAATCGCTCGCAGTACGTTTCATAGTGTATTTGTAATGCCTAATGGCCCAATAAGGATAAAAATACCACCGTTCGATTCAGCGTTAGAAATTGTACTAATTACGAATGTCAAATGTATTACTAAACAACAGTGTTCTAGCGATTTATGGTCTTTGTCTTTGAAAGCCAAGCGAAATTGTATTGTTGCCAATCGCTCAATATTATTAAACTAATTATAAAAAAATGCAGTACGTTTGACCCTTGATAATTTTGGTATCATTGGTTTTCTCTTTTTCGGCCGTATACCAGTGGATTCGTCTCACTTCTCGCTTCATTTTGATAGTATTTTGAGCCCAAAAGCCCCAAAATATTTTATTTTGAACGTTTTAAAGCGCAGTTTAATCCTAGACCAACTGGCGGCTGACAGTTTTGAAGAATGTAGTGTACTAACTATAACTTTACTAGTAGGGCCTACCGCATTTTAGTACTGTGTTATTAAGCCTATCGCGCTCGTATTCGACTTTTCCGCTTAGCTCGGGGAAAACCTTAAATCTCAATTGAAAGAGCTAGGTACTGTATGTATCATGTACATTGTACAGTAATGTGCGTAGTTGTATAGCCCCAGCGAGTTAACGCTCCGTAGAGCGTCTTGTTTACTTAGTTTTGTGAATGCAAGAATACATGCAGCAAGCGAAGTGGGAGGAAAAGACGTGGGTGCCCGTGTCGCGATGAAATGCTTGCTTGCACTGAGCAATGCTCTTGTGGAACAAAAAAAGCTCTTTGCAAAAACAAAATAGCAGAGCAAGCTACTTCAGATACGAACGCTGGAAGAAACGCTTTCGAGCGCCATCGAATTGCTGTTGAAGAAGCCAGACAACAAATAACGGTAGGGATATAAACGAACTTTGCCTTCAGTAGCCTTATACCTACCTGTCTGGAAAGTAGCAAAAGTGCTGACTGAATACATCTTTAGTCCATACAGTTTGTTCCACGTTTGTGCCCTTCAGTTACTTTTATAAACAACTGTACGACAAAATTTGTAACGGATGCGACCATCATTTAAATTCCAGTGTTGGTAACCTGTATCTTTGTGGTTGTATTAAAATGTTCAGCACACGTGTAAACATGCAGAAAAGTATTGTTGGCTTTTAAATATTAATATTTACTTTTGTTACAGGACTTTATTACCAATTTGAATGGAGAGCAAAAGGACAAAATATTGTTAGAAATATTGTCAAATGGCAAAGGAAGTTTGGATTTTGCAAAAAATGTAGAGCAATTTGGAGAAAACCCATCCATGCAGCCTCAAACAAAACAATCCTGGTGTGCATGTGGGGTATGCCGACCAATGCCAACGGATCAAGAGAACACATGTTGTGGAAAAATAAGGTGCACAACATCATATGTGACATGCCAGAACACTTGTCTCGATAGAGATGTATTAATTATGGCTATTCGAGGAAGATGTGATTTGAGGACAGAAGAACCCGACTATTCTACAAACAGTTTTAGGAAGGCGGCATACCGTCATTACATTTTATGGAGGTACAAAAAGTTAGGGAAGGGTAACAGAAAGGTTTGCCCATCCTGTGTGGTCTTGGATATTAGACACATATATCCAGCAGATAATGGAATATATATGGGCTTCAAGAGGGCTTGGAAAAAAATAAGAGTTTATACTATATCAGATAATGGTGGACCTTT